TTCATTTTCTTCTTTGGAAATGACCTCGTTATATACATTTTACTTATCATCTTGTACGATTTGTCTTTCAATTCAGATGGAAGTTGAAAACTTTATCAAGCCTTCTCAGATGTAAGAGTCATTCATGCAGAATCAAACATTTCCCTGGTAGGAGACAGAAGATTGTTGGATTTCTTGTGAGATAACATTCCTGATCTTATGATATATGCCCTGGCAACCAGGAGGGCCAACCATGTCCTGGAGTGCATCAGGCAGAGCGCTGCCATCTGGTCAAAGGATGTGATTGCCTAGTCTGTGCATAGTCAATCTCACCACAAGTCCTGTGTGCAGTTATGGGCAGTGCGATATAAGAAGGATATTAAGCTATTAGAGAGCATCCAAAGGAAGGCAATGAAGACGGTGAAGGGCCAAGAGGGGAAGCCATATTAGGAGAGGCTGAGGTCACTTGGTCTGTTCAGCCTGGAGAAAAGACCTCATTGCAGCCATAACTTGCTCACGAGGGGAAGAGGAGGGACAGGCACTGATCTCTTCTCTGTGGTGACCAGTGACAGGACCCCAGAGAATGGCCTGAAATTGTGTCAGGGGAGATTCAGGCTGGATATTAGGAAAAGGTTTTTCACCCAGAGGGTGGTTGGGCACTGGAACAGGCTCCCCAGGGAAGTGGTCACAGCACCAAGTCTGACAGAGTTCAAGAAGCGTTTGGACAGCGCTCTCAGACATGTGGTGTGATGCATGGAGTAGTCCTGTGAAGGGCCAGGACTTGAACTTGATCATTCCATGGGTCCCTTCCAACTCAGGATATTCCATGATTCTACGATTTATGATGTGAATCAACATTTAGCTAAAACTCCTGATTTTATTTGACACTCTTTTCTCTCCTCTTAACTGGAGGAAGTTTTTAAATAATTTTTGAATTGCAAATGCTTTTAGGAAGTAAAGAATCAGCAAAAAAAAGGTCTTTTGACAGTTTCTTTCCTTCCTAAATGTTTAGGAATCCAAAAAATTACAAGGGGAAAAAGAACATTCTAGTTCCAGCTTTCTTGCTAATGTCAGAGTGGTTCACCAAAACAATACCATCCCACGGGCTGACTGAGGGCTCCATCTCTAATGCCTATGTCCCTGGTTAACCTCCACATCTCTTGTGGCTTCCAGAAGTACTCAAAGTTTAAATCGATGAGAACTATGATGGTCTCAGCATTGTTCAAGCTGAATAGAAAGACTGATATCTGACAGTTTCAAATATGAGTTTGCACCATGGGGACCTGACACAGCTACCAGCATTAAAGACAGTGGTGCTGTCTGTTGCAGCTTTATGAAAATATAACACCCACTGGTATTTGATTTATGTTCAGAATGTTATCACCAGTGATAGATGGAGGATCTAGACCTCTTAAAAAAATAAAATTCATGAAAAAGCACATGCAGTTTCTGACACTACCTGCAGATGATTTTTCAAAACCCTGATATCTTCCTTGAAACATAATTTAGAAAAAAAGAAGTCACACACTACACCAGACAAAACATTAACTGCTTTAGTGTGATAGTCAATGCAGTTCCAACTACATGTTGTATCTGACAAACAACTGACATATTCATCTGACTTCTTCAGATTCTATATAGAAATATATGACCTCTGAACACCAAGAGACAAAATACTACTCTCCCATGCCCAACACAGAAATAATGGTTCTATAGCCCATTCAAAGTACCAACGCTATTCAAAGGCAAGGTTTATGTGGTTATACATATGAAACACAGTTGGAATTCCTACCCTGGTTTCCTCAGGGACTGCATTATGACCAGTTTTCAAACATGACTGATTCTGGGCTCAGCAGTCAGCTTTCTGGAAGATGCGAAAGTGCAGAATAGGAAAGAAAAACAGATCCCACCTGTCCCACAAAGACAGAAGCATTGATTTGAACTAATTTTTCACAAGATCTTTAAGTGGTAAATTAAGTAAAAATTAAAGTAATAAAAAGTAAAAGCAAAACTAGTCATTTCTAAGAAACAGTTTTAAGTAGTTTAAATGATGTGGCAACTGAAACTGAAGCTTGGCTGAATAATTGAGTTTCCAAATAGTTTTGTAGGTTCTTAAACAGTTTTCAAAATAAAAAGACCTCCTTTCCTCCCTTCACTTCTGCCTTTCATCTGATAACTCTTAAGCTTCTGGAACAGAGCTAAACTACCTGCATCAGCAGTAGTTTAGAATTAAGACTTTCTATAAGAAAGGTCACTTGAAATACAGACAACTATCAAGTTAAAAAAGCTGCATCCCATCAGACATCTTTGAGCTCTAGTGCCACAAATTACAAACATTTATATTAAATTATGGAGAGCTCCCAATAGCTGCTCATTTGGCTTACCAGCTCCATTTAGGATGGGTTCTATTTCATAATTCCAAGCACATACCAACAAAAACATACTCATTAAGACTGCAAGCAAAAAAATATGTAATAGCATTACTTAAGTCCTTTCAGGAAGAACACATTCAAGACAAGCACAGAACCCAAAACTGTTGGGGAAAAATGTACATGCCTCCAAAATTCAAATTTACAGGAAGTTGAGCATACTTTGCTGTACCTTCTCTCCTATGTCAAATACATTTTCAACATACAGTTAACATGCAATTCAATAAAGGTCTATTAGTCCACAGCAAGATGAACCATGCTATAAATTTTGGGACAAAGTTTTTAAATGACTATGCAAATCTCCAGCTCTAAGACAGCAATTATCAACTTATGATCCACAAACCATTCATCTTATGAAGGAATTCCTATTTCCTCCTTGCCGGTGGTGTTTAAAGGCCAGGATCAAAAAGTACACTGAACTCAGAGGCACTTCTTGATAAAATCAAAAAAAGAAATGCCTGCACCCGGAAAAAAAGATTGGCAAGTTTCTGCATTTAAGATATCTTTAGTAATAAACCTCCTAGATAAACAAGAGAATAGTTTGCAGAAGAGATCATTATTCACTTTTTCAAGGGAGGATTACACTACATTTTGAGAACAGGAATCTTAACAATTTTACCCCCTAGCACTACTTTACAATGTAAAAAGCATCACATATTTAGAATTCCTAGACTACTTCCAGATTCACACTACTGAGAGAAAGCAATGGCACAACACAACCAAAAGCGGAGGAGAGGAAACACCCTTGAGTGCTCCTTAACCGGCATCTTAAAAAATTGCACAACACAAAACCAAGCAATTGAACAGTTGATGACTCCAACAGAAAGAAATACGCAAGAAATAAGTAACTCTTAGGGTGCAACTTCACATGACAGAAATGTGACACTTAGGCACACAGTTTAGTGGTGGTCTTGGCAGTGCTGGGTCAACAGTGGGACTTGATGATCTTGGAGCTTATGCATGTGAGGAATGCAGAATTGGACCTTACCTACCACCTGCAACATTCCAGTTAGTTCTACACAACAGTACTGTGCGTGTCACATAACAATATATACGAAAGACTGAATGAGGTATTTAATATTAGACCACTGCAGGTACACGATAAAGTTGTTATTCCATTATTATTAAGGGGAACATCCTTAATTTGTCTTACTCCCCGCACTCTACTTCCAACCATCCTTTTTGTAAACAAGATTTAAGTACATAAGTACACCATCACTATGAAGTTCTATTTTAAGTCAACTGAAGTCTTATTTAATCACACAGTCAACAGCAATATAGTGCATATTAATTATTTAGAATGTATGCGCAATTACAGCAGCTCAAGCTCGGGTGGAAGACATCAGTCCTCACAAAAAAAAGCCAGGACAGGTAGGGGCAATCTTTTCTTTAAGAGCGACTTACACAGTTGTGCTAATGCTGTTCATACCAGATGCCTACTTAACGCAGAAACCCAGACATGATGTATGTAGAGATTATGAACATAATCTTACAGCCTGAAGATAATCACAGAAGAACTCAGGGACTTTCCATTGCTGTTTTGTGGGCCAAAAACCGCATCAGACCAAATACAAGCACCAGAGCGGAACACATCCAGGACACGTCTCCAGGCACACGTGCGTGCTTACACAGACACGACAGACAAACGCAGCCAGTGCTACCGAGGGACCCCTGCCCGGCCCTTCCCCACCCCTCCAGACAGCCCTCACTGCACACACCAAACACCACCCCCACAATGTGGACCTGCAGCCCCTCAGCCAGGACCTCGGGGGCCCCGAGCCAGCAGTGTGCCCTTGTGGCCAAGAAGGCCAATGGTATCCTGGGGTGCATTAGGAAGAGCACTGCCAGCAGGTTGAGGGAGCTGATCCTACCCCCTCTACTCAGCCCTTCTGAGGCCACATCTGGAGTGCTGTGTCCAATTCTGGGTTCCTCAGTGCAAGAGAGACATGGAGCTCCCGGAGTGAGTCCAGCAGAGGGCAACGAGGATGACTGGGGAACTGGAGCATCCCTCTTACGAGGAAAGCATGGGGGAGTTGGGCTTGTTCAGCCTTGAGAAGAGACGAGTGAGAGGAGACTCAATAATGTGTATAAATAAAGGCGGGGTGCCAAGAGGATGGTGCCAGGCGCTTCTCGGAGGTGCCAAGCAAAAGGTAAAGAGGCAATGGACAGAAACTGATGCACAGGAACATCCACGTGAATAAGAGGAACTTTATTGTGTGAGTGACCGCACAGTGGAACAGATTGCCCAGAGAGGTTATGAAGTCTCCCGCACTACAGATGCTCAAGAACCGTCTGGACGCAATCCTGTGCCATCTGCTCTAGGATGACCCTGCCTGAGCAGGGATGTTAGACCAGACGACCCCACTGTGGTCCCTTCCGACCCGACCCATTCTGTGATTCTATGCATCACGCGTGCCCCTTCCCCCCGAGAGCGCTGACCGAGGCAGGGACCGGCGGCAGCGACGCCTCCGCTCCGCGGGGCCGGGCAGGGCGAGGCTGCCCGCGGCGGGGGACCCTGCGCGCCGGGAGAGGGGAGGGCCGCGCCGGGGAAGGGGCCGGGGAGCGGCGGGCAGAAGGGCGGCCGGGGCTGACCTGTATTTCTTGAAGAGCTGGTCGGACTCGCGGAAGCCGTTGTTCAGCAGCATGTTGATGCCGGCCAGCGCCAGCTCCGCGTCCTCGATGGGCAGCGGCGTCTCCCCGTCCTCCCGCGGCGGCGGCTGCTCCGAGCCGGCCATGACGGTCAGGAGGTAGCGGGACCCAGCCGGCTCTCCTCTATCTATCTAATCTACCTACCTATCTACCTACCCACCCACCTGCCCGCCCGCCCCTTCCCGGGCGGCTCGGCGCTGCCTGGGCGCGCGCTGCGGGAGGAGCCGGGAGCGCCCGGTACCGGCGGAGGCGCGAGCCCGGAGGTGCCGCCGCCCGCGCGCGCCGCAGCCGCCCCGCGCCCGCAAACCCTCCTGAGCGGCGGCGCTCGCCCCGCGACACAGCGCGCAGGCGCCGCCGCGGGGGCCGCGCAGGCGCGAGGGCCGCGCCGGGTGAGGGGCCAGGGGAGCAGCGGCCGCGGGGCGGCGCCTCCCGCGGCGGGGTCGTTGTGGTCCGTGCCCGCAGAGCCCTCAGCCGTCCTTCGCAGGGTAACAGTTGCGGAATACCCTGAGTTGGAAGGACCCACAAGGACCATCGAGTCCAACTATTGGCCCTGCACCTGACCATCCCCAAGAGTCACACTTACGTGCCTGAGAGCACTGTCCAAAGGTTTCTTGAACTCTGTCAGACTTGGTGCTCTGACCACTTCCCTGGGGAGCCTGTTCCAGTGCCCAACCACGCTCTCGATGAAGAAGCTTTTCCTAATATCCAGTCTGAATCTCCCCTGACACAACGTCAGGCCATTCCCTCGAGTCCTGTCACCGGTCACCACAGAGAAGAGATCAGTGCCTGCCCCTTCTCTTCCCCTCGCAAGGAAGTTGCAGACTGCGATGAGGTCTCCCCTCAGTCTCCTCCAGGCTGAACAGACCAAGTGACCTCAGCCTCTCCTCATATGGCTTCCTCTCTTGGCCCTTCAGCATCTTCATAGCCCTCCTTTGGATGCTGTCTAAGAGGTTTGTGTCTTTCTTACATTCTGGTGCCCAAAACTGCACACAGTATTCCAGGTGAGGCCACACAAGTGCAGAGCAGAGCGGGACAATCACCTCCTTTGACTAGCTGGTGCAGCTTTGACTCACGCCCCCCAGGACACAGTTTTCCCTCCGGGCTACCAGGGCACTGCTGACTCTGTTCACGGACTCTGTACCCTCACTTTGGGGACAGCACGGCAAGCACCAGTGGGAGAGAGATGGGCAGCTGATGCCCAGCTTGGGGGTGTCTATGTGTGGAGCTGGTGGTTTTTTCCCCCCTCCTCCATGTGTTACTTTCCCTCCCCACCCTCACACCTCTCCTCACCGTGCTGGTGGGCACTGTATGGGTGCAGGTAACTGCTGCTTGCCTGCCCTCCCTCAGGCAGACTGTCCACAGCCCTAAGGCTTCTAACAAGACCCACTGGGGTTTTTTCAGTTTTTGTGAGTGGGATGCAGCAGCTGGTGCTGCAGCAGGGCCTTGGGTGTGAAGTAGTCCAAAGTCCAAAGTCCTCCTCTGATAATGCAGCTTTCCCTTCCAAGATCAGTGATTTTTTTATTGCTATTATTTTTTTTCAGTGATTTCAGTTGGCGACCAAGGTCACTAGCACTAAGACTGAAGTTCCTCTTTTGTGACTTTTTGACCTCCCCAGTGCAAGTCTGGGAAACTAGCGTTTCTAGAAATTTACTCTCTTATCTCTTGATAGCACACTCCATGACTAGCAATGTGAATTTAACTTATCTGTGACACAGGCAGGAAAAATCAGTACTTTGCAAGTTTGGGTCAGATACAAGCTACTCTTGCAGGTGTTTCTAAGCTCAGGACGAATGAGAAAGTATACTTGCATAAATGTACCCATTCCAAACCAAAATGGCCAATTACCTAGACGCTGAAATTACACTCAGAATGTTTTTATCCTTCTTTACAGGAAGAGACTTTCTTTGCTGTGCTTAAATTTAGGTGAATACAAATGCTATTATCAACAACCTGGTCTTGCTTCCTGACAGCTAGGATAGTGCTACAGTTGCTCTGGTGAAAAATTTAAGTATCAGACTGCCTCCCCGTCCCTTGCTAGCATACAAAAGAATGGTACCAGACATTACTTTTAAGTGGCAGCCCCCCTTCCCTGTAAAGCAAAATATCTGTGAATCAAGTAGCAGTACTTCTGTACATGCCTTGTGGGAATTGCTACCACTGCCTCGGGAAATACTCTGTACCAAAAACCTCTTGAGACAGAGCGAGGATTTTGAAAGTGAGGATCTCCTGATACCAGAAGGCTTCTGAAATCTATGAGGTGTGAATGGGGCCCTTAGGCTGGTGCCAGCCCCTCTGTCTTACTGAGCAGGACTGGACGCTCAGCGGTGTTTGAAGAGGACATGTGTTTTCTTACAATGAATATCTCCAAAACAGCATGATCTACACAGCCTAGAAATCCTTAAGGACTTCAGGGAAGTCAGCACAGCATGACTGGGGAACAGTGTGTCCTCCAATGTGTTTACAGGTTATTTGTGAAATTTGGACTCCAGAAATACAAACAGCCTCACTAAAAGGAAATTGCAGGTTGCAGTTTTACCACCTTTGTTCTCTGTTTCATGTGTGCCCAAGACACTGCATTCCAGATTAAATTGAGGTTATTTACCAAGCACAATCCTTTGGGCAGGGGTTCATGGTGGAGCAGTTTATTATATCGTTTCCCTTAGTCATATGTAATCAATTTGATCAAGAGGCAATGAATCTTCTTATGGATTCCCTGAAAACTTGTTATAGACAAGGCTAACTCCTACCTCCAAGTACTATTTCTGAAGAGCAGAGAGTCAAGTCCTTTGTGAAACACCTACTCCATTTCTCCAAAGCTAGACTCCTATTTCCTGGCCCCAAAGTTTGAATAATAGTGTAGCAGGGCTGTGTGCTTCCTGAAGGTTTTGGCCCCATGCACAAGGAGCTAGAATCTTTTGAGATCTTTCTAGCACCCAGTTGCTCCAGACCTTGCTCAGGGCTGGCACCAGTAATTTGTTTCCTGTAACAAATGCTTCTATGAGTATCCGATAGCTAGCTATTAATTTTGAAACTCAAGATGTAAGTAGCTAAATCAACTTTACAGAAACAGCTATAAGTGTACGAAAGAAAATTGGCAGAATGAAACTGCATTTCAACTGCTCAGTAGAGAAGTAACACATTTGAACACCATAAATGAAGCAATTTGACTTCAGCAGCAGTTTTATAGTGCCCACGTTGTTGTGATCTGCACTGCAACCTCATTTTCCTGCAGAATTGGATTGGAAATCAGTAGGGATGTAAGTCTCCCTGCCTGCCCTGTAATGGCAGATGAGGTCTTGTGATGGGTTACAGTTGGTTTGATTCACGCAGAGGATGTGGCACTGCTGATTCAACCTGCTAAAAATGGCAAGGGGGGAGTGTAGAAACCACAGTGAACAGGACTACATGGATGAGTTGTACATGTTAATCAAAGCTCATATTTACTTACCAGCCTACCTACCCTCTAAACATCTTTCCTGGGCTTTTTTGGTTAGATATTTTTTTTAACTCCTAGTAACATACTATCATTAGCGCGATAGGCACTCTTCAGCCAACAGTTTCAGCAGAGGGGCCAGTCAGTGGCTTGCTTTCCCCTTGCCTCACAGCTTGCTGCAGTGCAGTATTGAATAACCTGTGCTGCTGTGGCCTGTTACCTCTCTCTTATGAAAACAGGTTGAGGCAACTGCTTTGTAATTACTCCAGGACGATAAAGTTATTGATGCTGAACAAGAATTGTACTTTAAATAAATTAACTGGCCTAAAATTCCCAAGACCTTTGCTCTGGTTTCCCAAAAGTTGTTAGATAAAAGATAAAGTGTCTGCCATACTCACATCCTGTAAGAGATACAGAATGGTGGTGGTTTTACAGCCCCTTTGCAGGACACTGCTGTCGTAGTTCAAGATAGCCTGTACCTTTGACTACTCAATTGCTCTTCCCTTTGACAAGCTTTCCAAATTTCTGCCCTGTCTTTTTGCTTCTGACAGGGAGAAGTCCTGCAAGTCATCATCTTCACGTACTGGTCCCTGAGTAAAAAGTAGTTTTTCGTTGGTGTTTTTCGTCTGTAAGTCTAATTGGAATTTAAGCCCTACTCATGAACTACAGAGAACAGCAGAAGTTGAAGAAGCAGGAAATAAATTATTAGAGAAAAGCTTAATGATTTATCTAAAGCATCAGAGAGAAAAGAGTTAAAATCAAGGGCAGGCCTATATTCATATTTTCTTTAATATCATTTTCATACTCAGTTAATTAGGTCCCACTTGTCTCAGGGCCCTTCTCCACTCTGTCTGGATGTGGCAAGCTAACCCCTTGCTTCTCTCTCAGAGTGCCCTATATCTGATTTTGCTGGGTTTCTTTTCACCTCTCTTGTTCCCATACTCTACATCTGTCCTTGAGCACCTCAGTAAGCCTCGTACAATTTACACTTTTTAAGATGCAGATGAAATTTCAGTAGTGGATTTAGAATATTTGATCATCAGAAATTAGGTTAGAATCACTGATCTTTTTAATAGAGAGAATTAAAATCCTTCAGAATGGAATTAACCTTTTTCCCCTGTGTTGCAAAAAGAGTGACTGTGTATGTATGTAACATGTTGGAAATACTAACTAAAATCATAAAAACATCTCCCATGCTTTTTCAGTCTCAGACACAAACCTGCAGAATCTGCTTCTGTAATTTTGAATTCCTTTTTCAGGATTTGCCATTCTAGTTCAATATCAGATGCAGTCCCATTGTTGGTTATGAAAGGGTGTTACAATCCAGGGTATAGCCATCTTTTCCAAACCATCAGAGGGATCATCTGTGTCTATGACTTCCAGTAATGGCTACTGCATCTGTAAATGGGAGTATCTTCCCTTTCTGAATATATAGTATTTGGTAAGACAAAAATTAAGTTCTAAAGTACATTTCTAAGGAAATGTACTTTTTAAGTAGCTAAAGTCACTTATTCTTGTGCTTTATGCCTCACACTATATCTCTGATTTTGCAACAATGAAGGTGCCTTGTCACTTAAATATTTATGAGCAGTGAGCTCTACATTGCTTATCATCATGCATTTTCCATAGAGCACAGCAACTAAGCAAGACTACAAAGCCAAGCTAATCTTCAGAGCTGGCTCTCCACATCTTCCGATTAATATGCATTGTCATTATAAGGGCTAAACCCTGCCTGAGGACACACACATGAAGTGACTATTGAAATGACTTGTCTGTTCTGTCA